TAAACCGCTATGAATCACTGTAGGGGCGGAACAATCAATAATCGGATTGGCACTAAATCGGTTTGTGAAGTCTGACTTCGGAACTCTTAAATCCAATAAGTTGTCAATATCAGTATCACTGTAGCCACCACCAGCACCTACTAATGCATCCACTTCCGTTTTATTATAGTAATTGGTTGCTAATTGGGTGTTGGTTTGGAAGTTCGTATCAATATCACTCTTATTATAGTAATTCGTTTGTAATTGGGTGTTAGTCTGGAAGTTAGTCGATAAATTTGTGTCTTTTTGTGTTGATGCATAATAATTCGTAAATGTTGAATCAATCTCGGTTCTATTGTAATAACTACTGGATATCTGTAAAACCGTTTGATAAGAAGTAGCTAAGATATGTGAGAGAGAACTAATGTCGTGAAAATTTGTCAGTTGCTTGGTGTTTAGAACGTCAATAGCGTCGGTGTTTGTTTGGATTTCTGCCGAGTTGGCTGTGTTGATGTCTCCTACTTCTGTCTTTGTTGCGTAGGTGTCCGATATTTGACTTACACCCGTTGAAGATGCTAAATAAAACTTGTCGGCATAAACTGCTGTTAGATCGTTTATTGAAGCCATTATTAAACTAATTTAGATTTTAATTAACTTAATGATGATATCTTGATTAATCTAAAACTGTGGATGCACTCTCCGATAATTCAAAAATCTGTTCTGACACGGCTGTTATGAAAACTCTTTCAATACCCAATGCGAAATTGGTGTTGGCTCCTTTGATTTTAAATGTGATCAGTGATCCCATCTTAGTATTTGATCCAGTGAAATTCATATCAGGCTGTTTGTCAAAATTCGCGCCACCAATGAACTTATCATTGGCATAACGGTAAATATCAATGCTAAACCCATCATAGTAAGGGCTCATTACATTAACCGCGCGACGAAGGAAATACATAAATTCACTGATACTTGATATTTCTTGTTCTGGGAATATCTTATTGGCTATTTGTATTTGTGCTGAAATTTGTTTATCGCTATCAATTACACCTTCCAAATTGTCAATGGTTACCGCCATAGGGTGGAAAAAGTAATTCCATCTCTTTTTGTCATAATCACCTGCTTTAGTGTCATCATTAATTTTACTGTTGCTGAAAGTGAAGAACATCTGAGACAAACGAGTTGAAGATTTGACGATATTCATATTGATCTCGGTGTTTCCTGCCGTGAAGGTTTGTGAAAATGAATGATAAGCCGGATAAACCATACGAAGGCGACCCCCTTTTAATAAATGTGAAATTATATTATTGTTAATCGTATTATCAACTTGGATTAAATCCATTCTTAGGATACAGTTCTGAATTGCGAATGATGTTGTTGTGTTTCTTGTGGTAAAATATAAGCCGTTTTCATCATCTTCTGCTTGTGTTCCTGCTACTGTCGTTGAAGGTCGGATAACTGGCTCCCCTGTGTCTGAAACTATTTCAAAAATAAACTCAAGTGGGCAATAGCGAATAGGTGGATAATAGCCAGAATTTACGAAGCCACATACGGGCTTGTGCCCCATTCTTACGAACTTACCTTGTTCAATTCCTGTAGTATTGATTCGTGTTAGCTTTGGCAAAACGACGCCTCTTTGATTTGCTCCTGCTGTTGCTACTGCATCGTGTCCTTCTATGGTATCAGCGAACAGTCGGTTTATTCTACTGTCGTATCGTGTTAAACAACCTTCTTGAACATCATCTAAATCTCTCACTTCTTCACTTTTGAATGATTTCATTTGTTCGCATACTAAATTGTAATTGTCAATGTCATTGATTTCTTGTCCTGCCGCGTTGCATCTGTATCTGGTGAAGAAGGCATGGCTTTCACCTAGTGGACGCAAATTTTTGAACTGCTGTTGTTGAAGTATTTACAAGACCAAAGATTAAACAGATACTGGACAAATCAACATAATTGTTGTCTTCGCCTGTTATTGCGAATTTTAAATACTTGTTTCCGTTAGTTGCACTGAAGATATTACCAGAAACACTAGGGAAATGAACTTGCTTACGATCAGTTATGTAAGCCGCCGATTCTGGAAGTCCAAACTGGAGAGAATTGATCATATTGTCGCTAGATTCCGCTAAAACTAGATCCATTATACTATTTATTTAGAATTTTTATTATTATATCTTTTATGGCTTTTAAAATTGTCTGTATTCTGTTTTTCTAACTGTGGTTGGGCAACTGTGTTGTCCCCTTCTTCTATTATATTTCGGAGACTCTCGTAAGCAGAATTATTTATTTTTTTGTTCAAGTTATTCCTTAAACTTTTGACTTTCCGATGGCTTACCAACTCTATGTGGTTCTTTTATATGTTTAGGTTTATTGGACATAATAATAATATTAATGAGAAATAATATTACGGTAGAGATAGGGGCGGAATTGTTTCATATTGTCTAGTGAAGATATGTCATGATTTGCCATTGGATTTATTGTATCTGTATTATAATTGATCGCTGACCCATCAAATGCTGACACTATGTCACCCGCTTTTCTGAACCTCTTGTGTTGTTCAGAAGTGTGAAAAAACCATGGTTGTTATATGTTCTGGTTCGTAGATTTCTATTGGGAAAATCCTTTGCCAATTGTGTCGCCACCACCCCCGCTTGACTGTGTCCCACCAATTCTGTTATTTGTGGGTTGTCCTTCAATATTCGTTCTGCTTCTATATAGCGTTCCATATCACGGACACCACCCAAAACGCCAAAGGGTAATTTAGTAAAATTCTCCAACCAGTTTGTGAAACTAGTTGTCCCTCCTATATACATTTTGTTGTCTCTAACGTAAATCTTGTTGTCACGATCGTAAGCCATCTTAATTCCTTGCGTGTTAGATATTTTCCCGTTGGACTTTAACATTGAGTCTAGCTGCGACTGTAACCTCGTCATTATGGTAATAAATGATATAATTTTGTCAGCTAATTTATATGAGCTTTAGAACCTTAACATATAAGAAAGTTTATGTTAATTCTCAATACAAGGTCTCTGATAGTAAATCATCGTCTGATTTTAAAATAGAGTTGCAGGACACCTTTGAAATACCCGACAACACCATTATGCAAGTGCATGAGGTGGCTATTCCTAATGCTTGGTATTCAATCAATACGAACAATCAGAACCTATACTTTAGACATCAGATATTGCCACCTGCTACGCCCCAAGGCATACCATACAGAAGAATTGAAATACCTGTGGGAAACTACACCGCTCCAGACCTAGCTTCTGCAATACAAACACAATTAAACACATTCTTTGACAGAGGGGGAAGAACCAACTCATATTCTGCGACATATGACACTTTAACAAACAAAATTATTGTATCGTCTAATTATAGTGAAGTTGTTTTTATACCATTGACTGATACGGATGTTCCTACTTTCGTTGGTTCATTCTCTAATCCTGTAGATCTTAATAACCTAAACTCTGTTAATACTGTATTGGGCTTTACAACACCGGTCGGCGACGCCTTCACTTCGTCCGCCCCTTGGGCGACCGGCTTCATTAACTTGATCAATTATCCTGACGTTTATATCTCCTGTCCCGAATTGTCTAATAATAATTTTCATAGTCCTTCGGCTTTCTTTTGCCTCCCGCCTGGCTAGGACGAACCTACGATGCAGGGTAAGATCATGGCTTCACAATCCGGCAACTGTACAAATATCAGGTGTACTCACGCTTTGGAGTTCAAAGACAGACGTAGACAAGCCATTGGCACATGTGTTACACACGGTCAGGGGGCTTTTCGTTGCATGCATGCTTCAGAGCTATTCACAGGCATCACAGTCTAGTTCAGGTACCACAGGCTACCACAGGCTATTGTGCTCACTCACTCCCGTCCCATTGCTTGCTTCATGCAATCATGTCCCATACACTCACGGCACGCAGTAAAGATCATCCGCTATAGCCGCATGCAGTCCATGCAATCTTTGCCAGCTCATGCAGTTTGTGGTTGGAGGTACAACTCATCAGCCATGCATTTATGCAGCCATGCAGTCAAGCCATGCAGTCATGCATCACGACAGCAAGGGTCCACGCCAAATGTACCACCTGTGTGGTCTCGCCATCAGTGCTTGCTGTCATTACTGCCAGGTTCCAGGTAAGCCAGGTATGTAGGGGCATTTTAGAGGCCCCAAGCTCAGAATTGTCATATGAATTCCAATATGAATTCCACCATCCATTGAAACCACATGCAGTCATGCATCAGAGCAGCAGAACCAATTCCACATGAATTCCTCCATCTATTGAAGCCACATGCAATCATGCACCAGAGCAGCAAACCAATTCTTCCAGGCAGTTTGCGGCGCCATTTGTATCACCAGCAACGTTATGGCCCCATTGTTGTCCAGGCAGTGCGCGGCACTTCAACTTGTACCCCCATCAAAGGCCAAAGGATCGATCAAATTCGCATGAATTCCCTCCATAGAATTCTGTCATTCGTTTGTTTGAAGCTGGCAGATCGTCAGGGTCACGATCTCGATCTAGGCATTCGTGAATTCACGAATTCAAACCAGATTCCAACTCAGATGACTGTACCATGTTTCCAAAGGCTCTGTGTCCCACACAGCAAGTGCACAGGCAGCGATGACGAAGCCCAGGCTTGTGTGTTCCCAAGTCAGAGGCGACGAGGTTCCATGGCGTAGTTCTTCACCGAAAACTCTCCCCGAAGCAAAATAACAAGGAATCCTAGCATGGGGGGGTCCAGTTACCCTATGTATATGAGGCCCATAGCCCCTGGGGGCGCACCCATACAACCGAAAGTAGTAAATATGACGCACGGAAAGACAAAGGGGAAGAAGAGCGACCGAGGAGTGACCGAGGTCAGGGCAAGGAGTGAGAGAGACAGGTGATTGGTTTAAGGTTCAATGGAGTCCCAGTGGAGTACGGGAGAGTGAAAGTGTTTTTATAGGTTTTTGCAGGGTTTCCGGCTGGGACTACTCCACTGGCTCATCATTGTTGGAATTTATACACTCATGTTCTCTACTCTTCTTTCTCACTTCTGTCATCGTCATCATCGCTGATCAGGGTCGGAGCTTCAGTGTTTCCTTGGTTCGTTATCCCATTGGTCGCAATCCCATACTCCACAATGCTTCGCTGAAGTCGAAATTTCAACCTCCAAGAATCCAAATCCTCCGGCCCTGGTGCATGAAAATGCCAAACCTTGCGGAGGAGGTTGAGGTTGCAGGAACACAGGCTTCGGGCGTGTATGGTATTGAAAGCAATGAGTATGACACGTACGCTACCCTTCCACGGCATGGCCATGTGTAAAACACTGCGGCTGGGAAACAAGATCGGCTTATGCTGTATCCCGGTAACACATCCCCAAAGAGTGCTTCCGTAGTGCCCCACTGGCACGTCGCCGTCTTTAGACTGGGTCCACAAATCCCCACCTTCCTGCTTAGTGAGGCATGTGAGGAAAGAGAGCCCCTCAAAGTTGTTCAGGTCTCGGTGCGGGCCTTTATGTCCATTAGCTACAACTGCAATGGTGGAGAACATGAAGTTGGGGGCCCAGGACCTTACAAAAAGCGACAGTACTTTGGCAGTGTGGGTGAACTCAAAGGTATGATGCGTAATTTGATTCGGGGTACGAGGGCTCTGACCAAAGACTGCATAAGTCATTTCTTGTCGTTGGGGTTCATCTCGGGGTCTCTGCGGTTGTTGGGATGGCTTCGGGCGCAGGCGTTTGGCTTTTGGGATCATGGTCCAGAGTGTAAGTACATCCGAGTGTTGAATCGGGGTTTCATCAGGTCTACACAGGAGCTGTGTTGCAGCGCTCGACACAATTACAGTATGATGCGGCAGCTGGCTGTTCAGAACAATTACTGGAGGTCTTGGGTCTTTTGTACATCGGGGCCTCAGAGGCTTCCTGTGATTCAGGTGTGGGCTCAGGGTTGGAGATCGCCGTGGGACAGGGGAGACAGCGCACACGGAAAATACGACCAACCTTCATGCTCACGGAACAGGTCGCACTACTGGGTTTGTACTACCTGTTGAGCCCATGCTGTTCGAAGTCTGGTGATCGGCCGCAGCTAGCATCGTTCAGACTGTGCTTATGGAGTTCGCAGAGCAGACACTTCTCGACTGTGAGTGACCTTCTTTTTGCAGCGAAGCCACGGATCACGTCATGCAAGGGCACATCAGTGAGCACATCCAGCATGTTTGCAGCGCAAAGGAATTCATGTGAATACAAACAAATTCGAGGGTGGCATGCAGAATACAGGTCATGCAGATCGAACGTGGGTGCATCCAGAAAACATCGTAGTGCCATGCAGATCATCGTAGTGGCAGCGTAGACATGCAGAAACAAGTGAAACGCGGGAGTCCAGCATAACAAATTCAGCGTGCACATGCTGCATTAAATTCACATGCTGGTTCACTGTGCTCAAGAAAGGTGCCACAGAAGCTGTCTATACCCCTTCTGTTCTACTCCCGTTTCCTAGAAGGATTTAGAAGCATTTAAGTTGGAGGCCTAAGTTAGTGAAGGATCGCGGAGCAGAAAATGCGGGGCACGTGGGGTGATCACCCACGAAAGACGTAATGACCATGCCTCTGCAGTGCATCCTGTTGTGCCTGCGTGAGGATCAATGGGGCACCTTGTCCCGGAGGGGGTGCCATGATAAAAGGCTGTGCTGTACTCACGAAGATCGGCTGGGACGACGAGGCAGGCACTGCCTCCTGAAGCCTGATGGTCTCTGGCTCTCGCTCCGTATTTGTGCCGGTGCTTGCTCCTCCTGTTTGGTTCGGCGGTTTGCGCGCCGGGAGCTTCGGCAGTCTCTCCATCAAGCGTTCATCGAGTTCCTGTACCCGACTCGTCACGTCTTGGACATTTCGGCATATGTCCGTCAGCCAACTCCACACCTGGTCCAAGCTCTCGCGGATCTCGCCCACGATGTGCTCGGTTGAGCCCAGGTGGCGCATGATCGGATCAATCGGCAGGTCATCCACCCTGCGTCTCAGTCCATCACACTCGGCGGCCAGCTCAGTCATGGTTTGAACGGTCTTGTCCGTATTCTCCTTGGAGCCCCTGATTAGGGGAATCGCCGTGTTGAGGTAGCTCTTGACGCTGCCATTCTCGGACACCCACATGGAGTGGTTTTTCTCCGCTTTTTGCTCCGCACGAGTGAAGCCGACATGACTTTCGTTCGACATTTTCTGGAGGCTTCCAGAAAGGGCATCGACCAGCCGGTCCAGTGCTATCATCTTGTCCGACAGTTCACCAACTCGATCGCAGATCTGCCTGGTTGCCGCCTGTTGGTCTTGCAGCACCTCTCGAACCTGTGCAAGGCTTCCGTCCTGCAAGGTCTCCAGAACTTTCTGCTGCTTCGCCACGTCATCCAGGAGGTCCTTATGTAGGGTCACTGCCTTACGGGTGTCGCTGGATTCCTGGCTAAGCATATCCTTGATCTGTTTCAGCTGGGCACCATCCAGAGTCACCTGTTGAGCCCCTGACTTGACAGCCTGATGAAGCACAGCCAGATTGTCCACAAGGTGCTCCTTGTTGGATTGGGAGTGCAGGTGGAGCCGCTTCTCAAGCTCATTGCACATTCGGTCAAAACTTTCTTGCTGCATAAGCTCTACAGTGATCTGCCAGGCCGGTGGTTGTTTGTACCACTCGCGCAGTCGCTGCACCACTCGTCTCACATGTTTGCTCAGCGCATAAAGCACCGGGACACATGTGATTGCAGCAAAAGTCCACAAGAGCATGGCATCCATCGGGACCTGCATGACTCACGAGGCAGGTTTCAAGCTGTTGGCAGCTGTCGTCACTCGAGAGTACTGGCTGCTCTATGTTGAATTAAAAACCCGTCCTGCCCCCCCCCCCTCTGTCAAGACATCAAGTCCCAAGAACAAACATGGAGACATGGAGATCATGCAATGCAACGCTCATGCAAGCCATGTGTGTATGGGTGGTGGGGAGCTGGTTGGATTTAGAATGTGTGCTCGGCTGTAGTTGGCAGTGCGATAGGTGACTTTGTAATGTTGCAGGTAGAGTGCTTGTTTGGCAGCCAGGTCAGCAATAGTATTGAGTGCATGTCCGGCATGTCCTTTCACATGTACCGCAACAACCGTACTGCAGAGATGCGACCATAAGGAGTACAATTCATTGACTTCACCAGCATAGATAGTGGGTCTGATGGCATCGTTGAGGATCTGCAGAACAAAACTAGAGTCTGTCATGTATTTAATGGGAATACAGGGACCAAGGTGTCGCCTAAGTTCCCGGATGAGTTTGAGGGCTCGAATCGAGGCAAGGACTTCAGCACGTATGTTGGTACAGTCCCCCTCTATTCTAGCGCTACAGACAACAGATTGATCGAGTTCAGCATATGGAGCAAGAATGGCGACAGCCAGGCCCCCTTTGCGCTGTCTGCTGCTGCCATCACTGCAGACTTGGATAAAATGCAGATCATTGTCATCAACAGGGGCAGGTAGGCAGATGTAGGGTGAAGGGTAGGGAGTTTCGACTGGCTCATGCTTCATGGGAAGGAGACGGAAAACATTACCTACTCGAAGGAGGCATCTGCCATGAAGATCGACCCGATGGAGATCAGAGTAGTACAGTAGCGGGTTTAGGTTACGTTGGTCTAGCCAGGTCTGCGTAAAAGCGCGCCAGGCATCTCGATCGGTTGCTGCGTCATCCCAAAAGGGTGGCGCTCCAATAGGCCTACTCTTGTCCCATAAGACTTGCAAAAAGCGACATGAATTCGGCCATCTACCTGGCTTTCGCTTGGTGTTGACACATGCACGGCAAGCCCAGCGGGCGTCGCGAATTCTCAATGCAGCAGAAATCGGCGAATAGCGATAGAGGTGAATGCGTGCAGTATGTCCCCAGTAGGTAAAGAAAGCTTTAGCCTGGATTCCCTCCCAAGAGGCATGCTGAAGGGATTGAGCAGCCATTCTAGAGCCACGCCTACGACAAACCCAGTTCTCAACCCCCGTCATGAAAGCATCTTTGGCAAGATGGAAGAGCGAGGAGAGAAAGTTGGTGTGTAGGGTCTTTAGCATCTGGCTGATTGCTAGAATTGGTCGGACTGAGGGGGACATCCAGCGCCAGCGACTAGTAATGAAAGTGTTAAAAAGGTCAAGGCGTTGTTTGACAGGTGCAGTGGTCCGACAGAGGATTTTGTAGAAACCCCAGAAAGAGTTGGTGGCTTTAGAGAGTCTAGCAGCAAGGACAGTTTGGCATGTAATACCGAAGCCTATAAGAACACCTAGGAACTTGAAGCCAGAGACCTGGGGGATGGGGACAGACCCTGCATAAATAGACCGTTTGGGCAAATCAGGAGATGCGATAAATTTGCACTTCTGAATGGAGAGGCTGAGACCAATGGCTTTAAAGGTAGCGATGACCTGCTGCAACATGCGAGTAGCCTGTGCGTGGGAAGTAGCTAGAAGAATAAGGTCGTCAGCGTAGAGAAGTGTAAATATCTTACGGTAAACCCCACCTGGATCGATACAGTGAAGCCAGGTCTCCTCTTCGTCGAACCAAAGTTTGGTAAGGGCCCCCAAATAATAATCAAGGGTACGTGCAAAAATTTCTGCACTATAGGGGGAACCTTGAAGGATCCCTCTTTCTAGGTTCTGAACCCATGAAGTATCGGAAACGGAAACGCTGACAGAGCTGGAAATTATCAAAGACAATAGGACCAGGGATTCTAGTTTAGGGCCACAGTGGCGTAGGAACCTCGCTACGGCTTGGTGGCTCAGGTTGTCAAAAGCGGAACTGATATCCAGTTTGATTGCAATAAGTGGAAGCCCAAACTCTTGGCTAAGCCGGGTAAAATGTTGAAGACAACAGGAGCCATCAAGTGTTTGCGATCCTGCAATCCCACAAAGTTGGTTCGCAACGGGTGGGGGAAAACTACACCTGAGTCTTGTGAGGAGGATTTTAGAGAACAGTTTGCCTGGGGTACTGGAAAGAACTATAGGCCGGAGTTCGCTGGGGACGGAAGGTGACGGAACTTTAGGGAGCAGTGTGAGTTTTGAGTTTAACCATTCCCCCGGAATGGGGGTGGTCTGAAAAAGCACAGAGTTGAAAAGGTCGACAATGTGGATTCGGCACTCAGTCTGCATGACTAGCTGGAGAAGCTCATAAGAGATGCCGTCTTGCCAACAAGATTTCCCAGACTTGCACGTGGCCAGCACATTGCAAACCTCTTCTTCTGTGATAAGCTGTGGAGCCTGAAGAGGCGTGGTGGTGCCTGCAAAAAGCGTATCAAGTGGTGAAACAATGGCAACCTCCGGGTTTGTCCATTTGACCCTGAAGTGGTTTTTGAGATCCTTGATGGCTTTTTCCTTGCCCCCAGCTCGAATGAGGTAGTTATTATGGGAAGCCAAAACATTTTGTCTTCTTTTAAAATAACTAATGGCCTTAAAGTCGCCATTGGCAGCCTTATCGAGGATCTCAGTAAGCCACAGGTTCTTAGCAACTGCCCGCAGGCGGACGATCTCTTTACCTAGTGCTCGTGCCTCACTGCCATTGGCTCTGCGACGCTGACGGATCTTATCCAGAATCTCCGGAGAGTCCCTATACCTATAACTACGAGGCCTGTAGCAGGTCTTAGTAGCGAGCTGAGCAAGGTCAGCGGTGGTGAGGTCCCGGCAGGTGAGGTCAAGCTTGTGGCAAAGCAGTTGTGCTTCGTGGAAGACTTTGCTGGAATCAGCAAACCACTTCCCACACTGGTTAGGCTGTCTTCTGGGTCTGGGTGGCTTGGTACAGCGTGAAACTGGGAACGTTGCAGTAACAATACGATGGTCACATCCAAGGAGCTCATCAGAGTCATGTAGAACCCGGTCACACTGGAAAGTATTAGATGGTGAAGACATCAAGACGAAGTCGATTTTGGAGTGTGCTCCACGAGTGTTACTCCATGTATATGTGTCAGGGCGTGTGTGGACAAGGCCGTGGTTGCGGAGGAGAAGCTGGCAGTATACTTCTCTTTCATCAATATGAGACTGCGCATCAGAAGGAGCTGCGCCTAAATCGTAGTTAGTATCCAAGGTAAGAATGACAACATCAAAATACCGACGTTTCCTAAGGATGCAATCAAGATGGTCAAGGAAGTTCTGCCAGCACGACAAACAGTCATCCCTCAATCTATGCGGAAGATGTGCACTAATTACAAATTTTTTGTATCCTTGCATTTGCAAGATCACACAAATTCCAATGTCAAGCGGGATTATTTTTTCAACGTTCCCTGCTAGACGTGATGGCATCCCTAAAAGGACTGCTCTCCATGCTTTGGGCGGATTCGCACTGTAAAAGGTCCATGCTTCATCAAATTCGACATGCACAGTGTCCCAGGGCTTACTCTGATCCCCCAAACCTCCGACCTCTTGAAGTCCAAGAAAATCTAGGCCTTCAAGGCCTAAAGCCGGCCATGCAGTAGCAATGTCAGCCAGCGACTTGCCCTGAACGTTCCAACTGGCAGCACACAATGCATAGGCTTGGGGGGAGACTGCAGGTCAGGGGTTGCTCGGGCAATGTCTTTCCCACAGATCAGCAAGTTGAGCTGCTGGGAAACCGGTAAGGCTCTCAAACTGTGAAGCGCGGACATACCACGGTATGTGGTTGCCTCTGGCATCGCTGATAATGAAGTCGTTTACAACTGGTTCACCATCTCTGTCCATGGAGCCAAGAAGTTGGTACTGGTGAACGAAAAGTCTACCGTTCCACATGATCTCAATGTCCCGTTCGGGGATGGGCGGCTTGTTGTTGTGTCCCGGCAGATGCTTCAAAAACTCTTTGGTCAGGACAAGGGCTCGCACACGCTCACGCTCTTCTTTGGTTTTGCTCTTTGTAGCCCAAATTTTGTTACCTTCTGAGCCAGGCACTCCACTAGTGAAGCGTTTGGTTTTGAGCTTGTCAAGGATCTGGAGCTGCTGCACTCTTCTGAATTTGATATGTGCTTGGGGGTCCTTGAAAACAAGCTGGACTTTGATGAAGTTCGTCCGACTGTAGGGGGCCCAGAGGTCATCATAACTGTCGGGAAATCCTATGGCTGAAAACATGTTGGCGACTTCTTGCTGCGCGTCTGCCTTTTTGGCATCGGTCCAGCCTCCAATGATGATGTCAAGATCACCTTCGTCCTCTCTGCTATCTGCAGAGCTGCGCGGGGATCTAGGTGATGGAGGACCATTTCTGGATAGGTTGATACGGGGAGGTGTTAGGGAGCGTTTTGCAGTTTCAAGTTCATGGAGTCTCTTTTCAAAATCCTGTAATCTGTCAAGTTCCTGGATACGGGACTCGAGGGCTTTGATTTGTTGTTGTGCTTGAAGAATGTGTTGTGTATGTTCGTGCGCAACAGCCTCAAGATGCGAAACGCGAACCCCTTGAGCCTGAATTTCAGCTCCATACTGTGCAAGTTCGCTGCGAGACAGGTCAACCTTACTGTGTAAACCCATAATGCCATTCTGAATTTCCTGAATCCAAGGAGGGGCATCGTTTCCCAGGGGAAAAGGTCCTACACCACCAACGGGGTTATGACTAGTAAGCGTCGGAGCAATCGGGGGCGCAGTGTATGGGGGTGGAGCTGTGGTTTTGGCGGCTTGAAGCTCATCTTCATCCCCGGCTTTAGCTCCTGCCAGATCGTCTTTTGGGTCCTTCTGCGTGAGTGCAATATCATCATCTTCGTCGTCATCAGCAGTAAGGTCAAAGGTACTGGGAGCAGGAGGCATAGGATTGCTGAAGGTTGTGGCCCCTACCTTGGGGAGAGGAGTAGTGCTGTCAGTAGCTCCCTCTTTGGACGCAGCTACCGAATAGGGGTTGACAACAACAGGAGTTGCGGAAACTGGGGCCACGCCGAAGTCCGGCATTTCAGCATCTACTTCAGGTTTCTCGGTTTTGAGCTTCTTGTTTTCCGGGGGGGCAGTATCAGGTGACAGTTTTCCAAGGCGTTCTCGGGAATGTTGAGGCTCTCTGGAGGTCCTAGGCTTTCTTCCCTCGCGTCCTTCCCGTCTACCTGTGCCCTCTCTGTTGTCCCGGGTCTCGTTTCTTGCATCCCTAGCATCACTTCTCGTTCGACCTCTCAAAGGTTTCTCAAGGGCCTCGGTGTGCCGACCAACGGCAGGGAGCGGTGTTGTCTCCGGCATCTTGAAAGTTTTCTCCCTCACAACTCTCGACTCTCCCTCTCTTACTCCCGAAAGTAAGCAAGGGGAGAAGAAGAGAAGACAGAGAAGTAGAACCAACCGATGTCAGCGAGCCCCTCACGGAAGCCGTCCAAGAATAGACCCCTCTCAAAGACAACACAGTTTTCTCTCGAGCCAAATGCTTGAGCCATTCAAACGCAATAATTAAGAAGGTGCCGGTCAATGCTCCATTTGCGGGAATTATTAGCGACAGTTACGGAATAACAGACTTTGATTTTTTGAACGTGTCTAAGAGAAATGTTAAAAGGCTAACGTTTAGAATAATGGATGGGGCGGGGAATGTTATAGACTTAAACAATGTAAATGTTAGTTTTAGCCTCCTCTTTCATAATAAGGATATGGATTGAAAACAAATAGAAAATATATAGAATATTATATATGAGTGAAGAAGCATCTGAATTAGTGAAAGCCGATGAAACACCTGAACCAGAAGAGCCTAAAGAAACCCAAGAAGAAATAACCACAGAACCACCGGATCCTAAACCTTCAAGAGTAAAGATCACGGAAGTGGCGAAGCAAATGACAGAGTGCGGAGATTGTAAGAAACCGATGAGTATGAAAACGCTAAGGTATTCCCACCCTGGCAAGTGCGAAGGTAAGCCGAGCGACATAATGTCTAAACCCGTTAGAAAAAACAATGTGAAACCAAAAGTGAAAGTAAAACCATTAAGTGTAGCAAACAATGAAGAAACTAGAAATGTTCCAGTTCAACAGCAACCCGTGGCACAACTGGCACAAACAAAATATCAAATCCCGCCCCCAGTTTCTAAGGCTATGCCACCGCCTCCACCCCCAAATATGCAACCTCATGACAATTTGACACAAGCACAACTCATTCAGTTGCAATTCCGAACAATGAAACAAGAAATGGTGAGAAGGAGACAAGAGAAAGCCAACAATATGTGTCAGGCAATGTTCAATTCTCGTTCTAAAAAATCTAGGTAATTAATATATAGCAATGGTTTTATATAATAAATACAAGTTCAGACAACAAGCAAAGCAGAAAAAGAAAAAGTCCTTGGACAACCCTGTAGTAAATGAAGCATCCGAGCTAAATTTTCATAAACCTAACATTGGCTATCTTTTGCACCTAAAAAAGCAATTGGAAGCCAGAGAGGCGCACGTCAGCAAGAGGCTATGAAAACGCGACTGTTAGAGGGACAACATAAAGCAAATTATGAGATGGAGATGAGCAGACTGAGAGAGGAGATGCATAATCCACGGATCCCCGAGACATCCTTAGAACACTTGAAGAACAGATATGAGAAGTTGGAGAAATTAAGTTCTGCAGTTTTCTAAATAAACATAAAGTATAATGTCACTAAAAACTTCTAAAATTCAGTTTAATCGCAGTAGCCGATACGAAGACATTTTAGAACTGGTTAATGACAACGAGGAAGCGTTAACACCATTTCCAAACAGAGATGCGGTTTTTTACAAAGCAAGTAATCAAGGATCTTATTTTGATGGACGGGATCATTTGGACAGGTTGCAAGTGGAACAGAACAGGATAGCCGAAAGAGTAGTTAGAGATCATATGATGAGACAGTATGCACAAGAAAACGGAATGACCCACAGAGCCTTGTTCAGAGATACATCGCCGAGAACAGCGGGAGGATCAGAAGAACAAGAATTTCTAGATTTAGATGAAGATCAAAATTATACACGGGCAGAATTCACCTCAACAAAGGCACCCAGCAACAAAGCCACTAGCAACAGCACTAAGCATTAAATCCACTGCACATATGCGATGGCTCATCATGAACCCTTTCCTCCACTGCAACTTCTGTCTCACGCCAATCTTCGCACAATCGTCACGAGCTTTCCTTCACTGAACTCGCCGACGAAAGATTTGCCACTGGCAAGAGTTTGTCGGCCACGGCCGGACTTGCGGCCACAAGCCCACCCACCAGAATAGGAATGCCCTTCCTGGCTTTGGTGCGTGCCAGTCCCATGAGGCTGAGAACTCTGATGCAAACTGCAGACCTCGCCGTCGAACATCGACCCATCCAGGTACACGATTTGCGCGATCCCAAATGGGCTATGCAACGTCTCGTCACTCAACATACCTTGTATTTGACTTGCTAGCTCGGCAGCAGTGGGCCGGTCAGACATGTCCACATCTGAACAAGCAAAGGCAAGTCCTGCAAGCAGTTGTGCGATTGCTGGGGCCCATAGCCCGCGCTTATCAACCATGCCAGCAACTTGGGCAGTGGTGTGCACGTGTTGAAAAGAATACTGTAACCTCCCAGCCTTCTGCACAGCCGCAGGGCGCCTTGTCAATGTCTCTAGAATCACCATCGCCATTGCGTGAATATCGTTTTCCTTACGAACTTTGGAAGACACGATGCAGGACGGGTCGCAGTATCCAGGGGGGCCAAATCCTTTGGGTTCCACCTCGACTTGGCCATGCTGTAGAAAGACCGACTTGCCATAATCAGCTAGTTTGGCTTGCCCCTTCTCATCTATGAACACATTTGTAGATTTGATGTCGGCATGTACAATTTGCGGCTCATTGCAGTGCAAATGCTGCAACCCTTTTGAAATGCCGTGAAGCACGTCGCAGCGGGACATCCATGTGAAGCCATGATCACTGCCCATGCGCGAAAACAGGGTGCCACCAGCACAGAAGCGTGAAACGATACAATTGTCAGCCCAGTCCACCAATTCCACAATGTTGGGGTGAGCCGCTTTTTGTCGGACTGCACGGAGAACCGTGAGCTCATTCTCGAAGTCCTCCTTCTTCTTGAAAATCTTGCATGCCAATCCGTCTAGCCGGTACACTGATGCCTCACCTCCCTCTGCAACGAACTCTGCTGTGCTTTTTACGTGCTGCACGTCGAACGCGTTGACGGCCAGCACCCACTGGATCCAATGGATTGCTCGGCAGAATACTGAAAAAGGACCTTCTGCACACCTCCTGGGCACGATGTCTCCAGATGCTTGATTCTCACATCCAGGAGCCCTACATCCAGGAACCCAGCTGCCGTGGCAGGCGTAGCCTTCCAGGAAGATTGAGCGGTGGTAATCGCTGACCACTGCTCTTGAAGCCAGCTGAAAACAGTGGCCAGTGAAGAAAAGGGATTCTCTGAACACATGATTTGGCGGAATCTACAGAACAAAATCACCCTGCAAGATTCTGCTATAGACATGAAGCCTGTCCGATGGAATTAGTAGCTTGCTGTTAACATGTAGCCCCTGGCATGCTGGTGGACCGTAGTCCTCGAGCCGTAACTAGCCATGAGAACACGCACTAGCGGGCAAGAAGCAATGTCGGAATTGTGCAACCGGCATCTGCCCTACTGCTATGCCGAACAATATGACAGTCCTCGTCCTCGCTCTCGTCGTCGTAGTGGTCGCAATTGTCAAAGAGCGTGCCGTTGCGAAACAGAAGGGCTGCTTTCAATGCCACCCTGAAATGTTTCTTTTCCTGCTCTACACCAGCTGCCTCGCGATTGTGCCAAGGTGTTGGGTGTTGGGGTTCTTGGTATTCCTATCCTGGACAGTGGTGATACTGTAATTCGGTAGAAGCCTACGGGGAAGCGCGGTGGTTCCGGAGAGCGGGTTCTACTATGAGGATGCTTGTGCTAATGCTCTTGCTTGGTTGGGGGTCGGGTTTCGTGAGAGGGTGAGGGCCTGGGTTGAGGGTTTGGTGGGATTCCTAGGGCGGGATATTCGGATTTGGGTTGAGTTGGTTGGTGGTGGTATTATTACCCGAAAACGGGCAAGGGTTCTACTAACTGAGACATGTCCTGAGCCCGACAATCCGAAAGACTCAAAGATGGTCATCCCAGAGGGCTTCACTCTTCGGCCCCTACCGGAAATCCAACAAATAAACTACGAAAATCCTTTCCCCGCGCTATGGCTGCCCCTGAACCTCCGAGAATGAGCATTGCGCTTCAACAGCCCAAAGAACCCTTCGATCCTGCAGAATCCCTGGATACGCTGTAGCGGCAGACCTAAACCAAAGCCTTCCCAAGCGCTGGCAAAGCGGAAAGATGAGAGGTTGGCCAAGCTTCCGGGGAGTCGGGCGGCAGCTGGGCGTAGACTAAAGGATCAACAGGCGGCTTCTCCCCCCAAGCCTGCCGAAAGCCGAAGGATTCGTGCTGCTCTTTTGAGAGCTCTTCTCATTGGCTCGATGGAGACTTTGTCGCTGTCTAGGCATCCCTTGGGGCAAAGGAGCCAGTGTAGAGTTTGAGTTGAGCCTAAGACGCCAGAAACGGAACTTAGGATCCACTCAACAGGCCTCGCGATGAGTGAGGCCGTAAAACTCACAATGCTCACAGAGAGCTTGGTTCTGCCAGGCCGAGAATCTCGCTACGTAAACGGGTAGAGAGGCTTCCTTACAGATCCAAGCTACTTTGGACCTGTAGCCGCCAAGGAGGAATCAGCCTTCAGCGCTAGAGGCTAGAGTCTGAAGAGCTTGCAGGCCCCTACTTCTAAGAGGCAGCAATCAATCTTACTCACGTGGGATCTTCACAACACGTGGTGTTGCGACCTGAGGAGTCGGGCACCTTCAACAGGAAGGCGAAAGAAAGCCCATCCTACATAACTTCAACACCCCGGAACACCAATACCGAACCGTTCCCACGTGTTTCAATACGTTCAGACCCTCTCCAAACCTTCAAGGACAGGTAAATGCATGCTTGCACAAAAAGCCTGCCTTGGGTGCGCAATCCTGGGCAAAGCGAGAGCGAGCACTAAAAGGATCGGGAACAAGTGAATTCCCAAGGTTTCCGTGGTCCTGACTTTCTGCGGGTATATGAACCCAAGCATGAAACTCAACATCCACACATCGCAGAGAAAATTCGGCCTCAGGGCTACTTGTAGGGGGAGTAGGCAGGGAAGGGTCTTCTAGGGCGATGCCGAGACAAAGGCGGATGGCAAATGGAATGAACATGTGTTCGGGTTTGTCGGACCGCTAAACAGATTCTCAAATGAGGGCTTGAGAAAGCTTCAACAGCACTTCCCTCAAAAAAAGCGTTCTCTTGTCATCACTTCTCCCTGCAGCTCGGTCGCACAGGGGTGAAGCCAGTAGTCGGCCCCATCGTGAGTGGATGGGTCATCCAGAATCATTGGCTGGATATCCACATCCTCCTGACCAACTCCCAACAAGACTCTTGGACCAAAGCCTGAAGGACCCGTGGGAAAGCATCGCCAGGAGGCACATAGGCAAAAGAGTGACGGTGTTCGACTGCCAACTCCATCGCGCTAAGGATCTATGGGCTATGGGTGCCTTCCAACTTTAGTGATGACCGCTCAGCAGCTCTGATCAGCCCTGCCTCGGTGATGTTTGGGGGCTGTCCACATGGCAAAGCCGAGTAGCCTTGGGACGTCGGAGTGGGGTGGATGAGCCCAAGCTACGCTCATGCGCCCAAAGAGTGGTCCGATACGTTCAAGCAACGTCCGTTGGTTTAGCACTGCGTACCTCTTCGCCATCAGCTCCTGAAGCGACATTTTTTGTGGGCCAGCGTTCATATCTGTCATAGCTACCCGGCAGGGTGCGACAAGGAACTCATTTTACGGCCCCAGGTGAACCTGAAGCGCAACAGTCAGATCCTCTTCACCAACTCATGGCAAACTGGACTCCGCTTGCGCTAGAGTCACTAGAGTTCCTGCGAAAGTATCTATCTTTCTTGTCTTACAATGCATAGGCGAGCCTCGGAGCTTGAAAAAATGCCCTCGTAGTGAGGGCACGAAACTTCGTATCGCAGTTCCAAGCTGCAGCTAAGAGCTGCCAAGCTTTGAACTCTACGAAAGCTTCAGGGGAAAGGTCCTCTACCCCAATGCCCATGCCAAAGTCCCGAGCTCGAGAACCCCAAACAGCTTGAGCCCAAGTACCAACGCTGGTCGTCGTGCAGCCGAGCTTTGGTCCAACGAACCTTCGGCTCAAGAGTCTGAAAGCCTTCGGTTCGAAGTCCAAAGTTCGAAAGAGGTGTCACTGAGTCAGTATCATGAAGGCCGTTACAGTAAGGCTAGTCTTGGTGTGCTCTGGGCCTGGTTTCGGTTACCAACACTACTCCTGCTTGTGTTCCTGGCTCTTCACCGCTGAGCTTCAAGTTCTCAGGCCAAGTTGATGTGCTCCGCCGCAAGTGGAGCAGGACTGGCACAATTCTACAAATGACTTCCTGGTCCTCATATCCTGCGCAAAGGGGAGCCGAAAGGAAAGCTGGCTTGGCGGAGCCAAGGCACAGAGAGAGCATTAGTACAAGCGCATATACCATCCGCTACACTCGCTTTGCAGTGGGTCATGAATACATCGCCCCCTAACAACTAACATGCGCAAATTTCTGAATTCGCTGGAAGGATAAAGCATGAAAACGCTCGCATCCACCAGCCTCAGAACCTTGCTTGCTATACTGCATGAAAATTGAAGTCAACCCGTGCACTCCCTGCACATAACCTCCACAAGCAGAAAATTCTAATGTTGCGGCGTGGGTAGCTCAAAGATCCCCTTTTTCAAGTCGCTGTAGTCATCCGGGTGCTTCTCTTGGATCAACCTGAGAGATTCCAAGAGTTCGCGGTCCCACGCCGGTCATACTTGTGCACTGCTGAGGAAACCACCACCAGCACCATCATCTGCAACAGCCGAAGACAGTAATGACATTACGACGACAACTCGCGACGAAAAGCATGACCATGACCATGATCACGACCTGAAACGACTACAATCGACCCTTGCAACCGCTGCCCCTCGCCTGCCCAAACTGACAGAGATCGCTTTAAGGCTATCAGGAGCTTCTCCGAGCCCTAGGGGCCAGTCGCCATCGAGGCAGCCAGCCACTTCTTCGTCGATTGCCAGCTGGCCGCGCAGGCGCTTAGAAAACGTGCCAGTGGTAGGAAAGACTTGGTGAGTGACGAAACAGTAGAAACCATGTGGGGTTCCAACATCGAGCCTCGGGTTCTCGGCTACCAGACCCGAGCATGACCACACTGGAATTCTCTTAGGGCCCTGGCATTTGCAGAGTCTGCTTGGGAAGGCTTTCGGGTCCGGGGCTGGCAGTGAGGTAGGGACAACAGAAGCACAAAGAGAAGAACAAGGACACAGCAGTCGACCTGTACTCCTTAAGAGCACGTCTGGCCTCGTTCTCACGGGCTATCCTTAATTGTCGCTGCGCTCAATCATGTCAACTGCTTCGTGATTCGCGAGGAGCGGCGATAAGCAAAAATAACCACAAAAATGCACATTGTTCAAATCACAGGCCCAGGAGCCAAACCCCGGCGCGCATGGATGGATGATCTGCAAGACAAGTCGGGCTGCTCTCACCGGGAAGATGAAACGTGAAGGATGGTGAAGGCGGTTAAGGGACGAAGGGTTAGGTCCCACAAAGGCAGCTCTAGAAAGTGCTTTGGCCCCGGCTTGGAATGTAAAAGGGTCGGACTGGCAGGCTATGACGGTGAAGCAGTGCACTTGAGCATCGATTCCGACAAATCTGGCTACTCGTGAACAATGACCCCAGAATGAACTGTTCGCTAGACTGACCACCTCATCTCGCAATGTCCCAATGTCATGGAAATCCTTTGGACAAGTACTCCCCTGGCGCCGCTGCACAGGGGACAAAGCGCAGCGATTGACGCTGCCGCTAAACATTGGATTGCTCCAGGGTTCCTCCATGGCCTATCCTCCGAAAGTGGCAAACACGGAGACCCCTACAACAGCTCAGCCCAAGGAACCGCGGAAGTCTCGGACCACGAAGCGGACATAGCGTGCACGAACAGGGTTGGTGAAGAAGACCTCAGCTAAGGACAAATCGGAAGGGATTTCAGCCCATACAAATGTGAAGTTCTACTGTTTAATGTGAGGCTTTACGGCTCCAGACGTTGCTTTTCAGAGCCGAAGAACCCTGAAGCGCAAGCGCTCAAACCTGGGTATACGATATAGGTATAGATGGCAGCTCTATGAGAGCTTGACGATCAACCCTTGATCCCGTGCATCCCTGAGACCAGCAAAGCATCCATCAAACTACAGCCCCCACCCCCCGCCGCCAAGCTTCCCATAAGTCTGAAGATTTGTCCAACCCCCCGACGGCCCTAGATGAAGCGAAACCAGTCAATAGTCAGCCGCGAGTTTTGACCAGAAACTTCCAGAATCATGCTGGGAGAACGAGGAAGCAGCGAAACAACTCCGGCTTTGAAACAGTTTCAGAATAGAAGGTGATTCATCCTTTGCTCACTGAATGAGTTTCCATAAGTCCGGTACAGACTCTAGACACCAAGCTGTGCTCCGACTCCAAACCCAACAGCCCGATCCCAAAGCTGCAAATTATGCATTCCGATTCCGGCGTACTTAGGAATACAGTTTCATTCTCGTCCCCCTCATAGCTACAGTACACTGTTATGCTATGATATTAAACGCTACCACCCTCGCCGAAATCCTGTGGTACTTGCCCAGGCATCCGACGTTCACTTGCGTGTTCCTGTCGCGGTTACCTCCTCGAGCACCTTCTCTTGAGGCCGTTTTCTGGAGTCTTTAAAAAAGTGATGCAAGTAGCAGGCTTAGACTTCCGGATGCTCGGATGACAAAAGGCCTGCCTGGCCGGTGGTTCAGTCCCACTAGACTTGCCTTTGGTTAGTAGGGGATGGAGGAATGGGAGTGGGGTGCAATTATACCTACTATGACTACCATCCTTCCATTCCCTACTTACCAAAGGTAAGTGGATGAAGCAGCAAGACTTCAGCGTGAAATGAGATGCTCAAACAGCTTAAGCCAGGCCTGCAGGCAATGTTTAAACTCAAGTCTGATCCCTGGCAAGCGTTCCGGGGGAGTTGGAACGACAGCATACTGATAGTTCTTAAGGCTTACGCAGGCCTCTGGGAAAATTGGAATTTGGTTTTGTGCGGCGGGTGAGCCGAGTAAGACTACTTTTTCCCACCGAAGGCCGCAACTCAGAGCCAAAGCCAAGAAATGCCAGTGGAAATGTTACACACCTTACAACGCAAACACAAGCGTGAGAGCCTCTACACCAAAACGCGACATAAGGAGATGACGATAATGGGACATGACCCAGAACTCTTCTTCTGCTAACGGACTTCACATCTTACTTCTCCGACAGAGAGTCCAAATCGAACCCTGCCACTTTTGTTGCCAGCATCAGAGACCTCGACTTCGAAAACTGGTAGGGCTAGCTGACTTAGCGCACAACCACCTACAACGGAACCTGATAATGGGGAATGCCAGATTCTGGCCAACATGAGATTCCTAATCCTCATGAAGTCCCACCGTCCCACCCAGCCCGCCTCTCCGAAGCTGAAGTCTAAGTCGCGTACAGTAGCCTTTCTAAAGCCCCGTACGTAGCCCCAGGCCGGCCTGGGGGCTCCTTCAAGGTCGCCGTGGTCTCTCCTCAGACTCCAACTGTCAGCTGAAATACACATCGATTGCAGGTCGCACGTCGTAGGTTGCAGCATTCCTGTTTTGGCTGTTGGAAGCCTGCGAGTCGGAAATTGCGCGGTCACCAATTAGAGTGATCTAGATGCATCAGTCCATGTCATTACCACCTCCAGGCTACAAGTAACCGGATTGCTCTGCGGAAGTTTCCCAGTCTGGTTATGAGCGTCCATTCTCTATTCCGAGCCTCACCACGCTGAACATGTATCATGTGTCTGGGGTAAATCTCGGGCCAGTCAGCCACCCGCTTCTGCAAGAAGCCAGGGTATCCATGCACCGCTATCGTTTCAGCACGTGTTTTTGGGAGCGCTCCTTTGTGGAAGCTACATTGCTACAATGCTACAACTTGAGGAAGAAGACAGCTTGCGATTCTGATGCTTGTTACTTGCTGTGCGTCTGAAGACTTTGCCTTGAAGCAGGGCCCTGGAAGGACTGACTTTGATAGAGGCTGCCGCAGCCCCGAAAAACTGCCAGGTCGCTGTTTCCGCGTCAGTGAAGCCTCTCTTCGAGTCTTTGTGTTATGGATAAACCTGCGACGCCTGGCTGCGCCCCCCTGCTGCTGCCAAAGAGCCGGTCTGGACGATCCAGCTTTTCACCTCAGAGACTCAGAGATGCCACGGCCTGAAACGCGAGGATCTCATAGAACTTGTAATCGATTTCGGCTTTAACCGGCCGGGCCGGTTAAATTTAACCGATTTGGGCTTTAATCGGCCGGGTCGGTTAAATTTAACCGATTTGGGCTTTAATCGGCCGGGCCGGTTAAATTTAACCGATTTCGGCTTTAGTGGGCCGGGCCGGTTAAATTTAATCGATTTCGGCTTT